TCTTTCTCTCTTTTTATTTCTCTCTCTCTCTCTCTCCCTCTCTCTCTCTCTCTCTCTCTCTCTCTCTCTCTCTCTCTCTGTGTATATGTGTGTGCGTGCACGCGCGCGCGCATGTGTGTGTGCACCGGGAAGAACAGAGAAACGGAGAAAAAGGGGAGACAGAGAACTGTGCAAGGGAGTTATTTATCCTCGAGGCAACCGCCTGTTTGCAAGTGAGACCGTTTTCCTATTTCTCTCCCTGTGCGTGCGCATAAATCGCCGTCAGTTGCCGGCCGAGCACACCGTGGTGGGCGAGATTAAAATTTCAATTGGCTCGCGACCTCGGAAATCGCCGGGTATAATTAAAGTAAAACTGATGCCGAATCCATTCGCGGGTCGGGGGACAAGAAGAGAACGCGACGGGAACAAAACGAAGCGCATGCTTGGCGGAAGTACGGTCGCGCACACATATGGGCACGCACACACGTTGACACATTCGAGCATGCTTGGACACTCTTGAACACGCCGATTCGTTGCGCGACGAACCGGTGAAAAAGACTTCGGTATATAGGGGCTCTGCTCTTTAATTAGTGCGTCGGTCGCGGAGATGAAGAAGCTAAGGAGAGAGAGAGAGAGAAAAAGAAAACGCGAGAGAGAAACGATGAGAAAAGACGACAAAAGAAATGAGCTACTACCGTGACCGAGTAGGTATGCGAGGATTCGCGAATGGACGGACTGCGAACAATGCCAGATCGCGCAAGCATCAGCCGTTCGAGGGACAGAAACAGCGACAGAGCTCATCTATTATTGGCGCAAAACAGAAATAAAATGCGGTGCCGACGGCCTGCGAAACCTGTATGGTACCCGCGTCGCGCCAACAACTTTTGTTCTGGTCTTGCGCTTCGATAAGGTGAAGGTACCTCTATTGTAAAACACCGCTCGATAGCGGTCCCTTCTTTGAAACAGTGGCAGAAACAATAGATAGCCGAAAATAGATAGGGAGCGTATGAAAGCGGATGCGAAAATTCGACTCATATTTTTGAATATCTTTATAGTGTGTTCGCTCGCACAAATAATGTTATATCTGACAATCGGCTGGAAAGAGAAATGTTTATACGAATACGGGTGTTCGAACGGTTGGCATACGTGTTTCATATACGGGGACAGGGTCGTTACTGATTGTACCGGTCCGTGGAACGCGTGCGGGGTTTTCTTAGTCGCGCAGTTTGCAGGGGAAAAAATTGTAATTTGACAATGCTATGCGATTGTTTTCAACTGATTAGGAATGGGGATGATGGAAAACAGAAGCGTTTTTTATAATTTTATAATTTTAAAGGCGAGCATATTATAATAGATTGTGATTTTTATAGAAAATGTGGTACGGAATGGTATTTGTTTTAAATGATACGTAAAATAGTAAATGACGATTGCTATTAGTTAATACTGTCGTCATTTACTACTGTTTGCCGTAGTATTCTTTTTATTGTTATATTTTTCATTGAATAGTTGAATGTTGCTAATATCAGCGAGTTTCTATATAGGGTGAATTCTCCCTAATTTTCCTTCAGCTTGCAAACGAAAATTGACAATATGGGAAGAGGAGATACGATTATTCGAGCCTCGCTTTTGTTGCCTTGTTATTTTAATTTTGTATATAATATATATTATATTATAATATATTATTCTTATTATTATTATATATATAATATATATTATATTATAATATATTATTCTTATTATTATTATATATATAATATATATTATATTATAATATATTATTCTTATTATTATTATATATATAATATATATTATATTATATATATATTATTATTATATTTATATATATAATTATTATATATATATATAAATAATTAATATTATATTATATTAAAAGGCCTTGTTGTTATAACTGTTGAAAATCGACAACTATAAAAGTGAGCCGCGAGGCATGAATAATCGCATCTCCTCTTCTCAAATTGTCCATTTTTGTTTACAAGTTGAAGAGTAATAAAGCAAAAAGAAAAAAGCAAAGTTGATACACAAGTGACACGTGCCTGTTTTCCACCGAGCCCGTTAAATGTTAAGAATGAAAATAAATTTGTATATTTAATTCTCGTTTGTTGCGTTTCTAGGTAGAGAATCTTTATTTTGCATATAAATCCGCTGTTCATTTGTCACATAATAATACGCTCGTTTGTACTGGTCACTTTTCAGATTTCGGTTCTGATTTTTCTTTCAATCTTTTTTGTTACCATGGTGTTCTATCGTGTTACATTATCACATGTTATATTGTCATGTCATACGTACTACAATTTCATGGCTGTCACGTTGTACTGTCATGGTGGCTTACCGAATTTCATGTAATTTCTTTCATTTATTCGCGGGGAAAAATCTTTTACAAGACAGGGTAATAATACGCGGGGAGAAACAAAATAAAAGATTATACAAAAGAAATATATTCACTCTTGTAAAGGCTAGTAAAATGATTATTGAACAACATGCTCCAACGATAATTTTAGATATCCTGGAGACGGTTCATTTATATCTGTTTTTACGTGCAAGAATCACTCTATTAATACAATTTTACGATCCGTGTGCTGTGCGATGGTTTATAGAATCAAACAGTGTGCGATTCTTTAAATTTTTTAATGGTGCATACAAGGAGAACAATTGCATAATTGCTGGAATTGAAACGTAACCTTTGATTACTTTACTATTACAGGAATTGATTCTTTCCTACTAATAACATTAAAAATCCGTGCATCAATACGAGTATACAGGAAGAACATTTTTCTTTGAAATCGGTTTTATTGTTCAAAGTACTTTATCTTCAACCAAGATATACAGAGAGAGAGAGAGAGAGAGAGAGAGAGAGAGAGAGAGAGAGAGAGAGAGAGAATCAGAACACACTATCGAAATTATTCATCGATTTTCTTTGCATTTTATACGTTGGTTATATAATAATATAATGATAAATATAATATAAATATATAATAACAAATATAATTCTATTTTCAAGCCAAATGGTTATAAGAAAAAATAAGGTCACAAATCTTCCAAAGGCCATAAATGGTAAAAATGCTACACGTATTTCACTTAATTTCTAGATGATAATTTTGGGTCTTATCATATATGGATTCCGAATTATCCTAGGATTACTGTTTCCATGACAACATTACTCGATTTCGACTAAACATTTATCATTAAAAAATCTCCCATGGACGATGTATATCGGATCTCGAGGAAATATTCGCATTTTTAATTAGAACGTAAAAACTGAACAAACATAGCACGCTTGAAAACGCATTTCTTTTAAATATTTACCACGTTAAGCGCGCTAATCTTCGATTAGTTTTGAAAATAAATTTGTATTGTAATATATTCAGACAAGCTAGCTTTTACTAGGGTGTTTAGAACGCAAAAGATTTAATATATTATTGACCTAATTTGTGGGAACTTTTGGCTGGTTTTCGACCCCAATCAACATGCTTGGCATGTTAAAACAAAATAATGCTTGGTAACATTATTAAAAATGCATGGCTATGTTACTAGCATCAATTTTAGAATCTCTCGAGAACCAAATGTTTTATTTATACTTTGCATAAATCAGTACATACATATGTATGTATACGCGTTGTCTAAAAATACGTCTCGGGACGACGATGTATTTTCGGAGATAAACAACGATCGAACAAAATATTTTTATGATCTCTTCTTGAAAAAAATAAAATTCCAAGAGCACTGATAATTATTCTGAGTCAGAGTTTTCTGTCGACGGTGATAGAATGTCGATGGTAATAGACAGTATTTACAGCAACATTTACACTAGACAGTGTAAATGTTTCGCAACATTGAGCAACATTGTTAACGTTAACTGTTAACAACGAATATTATTCCTGTAGTCTGTCAATGTCATAGAAACGAAACGAATCCTATGTAGATTTTACCGCGGATTTTTATGCAAAATAAAAATTGTATGTATCGGGGAAAAACATGCCAAATAGAAACTCGTTCCTTCATTCATCAATTCGCACAAGTCTCGCAAATAATATATCAATATCCTTAAAATCTTTTAACCTACTTCATGTCCACCTACTAATTTTTGTCATAAATGCCTGAAATCCTAAATGCGTACATTTCTATAGACTGCAGATTCTCATGGAAATTTCTATTATCGCAGACTATTTCACAAAACTCAGAATAAAAATAAAAATTTATTAGCTTGTATGGAATGTCGAGGTTTCTTATAGATAACAAATGCCATGGACCATCATTTTGCAACATCTTCGAGAGTGCAATTTTTCATCGAAAGCCTGAAAACAAAAAGTTCGCAAAAAGTGCGTTCAAGCAAATGCTGCATATTCCGATCCATAAAATATTTATTTAACGAAAAGGGACAATTAATTCTTCCCCTTTCATACTGCACGACGTGCACTATTCCACGCATCGAACAGTCCTCTATTGTCAAAACACTAGATAAGTGTCATTAATTTCAGACAATTCAATTATTTCCTTCATATATTGCAAACTCGAAACTGCCATGAATGCACAAAAATCCGCAGCCTATTTGCAACCTGTCAGCAACGATGCCAACGAGTCTGGCAACGTTTAGAATGTCTAAATGCAATTTTACATATGCATATATATATCTTTTTTAAACCGAATAATGCAATATCGTCGGATATACAGGAATTTTTCAAACGAGGTTCGTCAAGACCCGACTGAATGTAGACGCTTGTTTTCCTGTTTGTTATTCCCACCGCTGTTTTATTTCGCCGCGAGCACGTATCCGGAGAACAGTGCGAGCAACGCGAAGTCACGTCGCGTCGGATCGTTTACAAACATTTGCATTCACGAAAACGCGTCCACGTTGTATCATCCGTTTTGTTCCCCTAGATATGTGTACGCTTACACGCCGCGGTCGCGTTTCGAGTCCGCGCGTATTTAATCATACCGGGCAAGACTTGCCGCCGGGTGTCTCGTCTACGGAAGCTTGTCAAAATCTGTGAGGTTGCACTTACCACAGTAATCGGGTAGACTGGATTGATAATTGTGAAGAGGAGAACGTGATTTGGTGTATTATTGTCTTCTCTGGAAAGAAGAAAAACATGTGATCAGTTATTTGTTAGCTTACGGTGGCGATTGTGTTCACTTAACGCTTTGACGGGCACGCATTTGGCGAATGATCTGCCAGTTTTGTCGTCGTGCAAACGTTCGTTGTAAAACGTTAAGATAACCGACGAACGATTGCAACGCGTTCGAAAATGCAAAGGCGACAAATGCAAGAAAAACAATGATTTGAAATGATGAGTTCGAATTTACAGTGAATTCTCTCCAATCGACGCTCAGATTGTACACAAAAATGGAGAATTTCGGAAGAGGAGATACGATTATTCCGATAACAATTGACAATTAACAATTGTCAATAACTGTAGGAACGAGTCGCAAGGCTCGAATAATCGTATCTCCTATTCCCAAATTGTCCATTTTTTTGAGCGTCAATTACGGAGAATTTACTGTGTTCGCGTGATTTCGATTCAAAAATCGAATTCTCGAATCGAATGAAATTGCATCAATGAGATGGCATACGTCAAAATGTTAAGAGTAAATGTATTTGGAAATGGGGTAATGTATATTCTCACTCATACTTGTAATTGTCTCTTTAACGTTTTATGATATAGATAGCGTTAAATTGTTAGTCCGTCGATAGTAGACTGCGGATTTTAATGCAGAATAAAAATCGTCTGAGATTAATTCCAAGATGTACAGGAACTAGAATGACATTTATTTCCTTTCTTGAGAGGTTCAATGAGATTATTATTAATAATTAATGAGAAAAAAAGACTATTAATAATTAATTATTATTAATTAGATCGGAGCAACGCAATAATATTTTCGCGCTGTTTAAATGCTTTTTTAGTCGATTTTGTGATCGTATATACATTTTTGTCATAAACGCAGTCAAATCCGCAGTCCCTTTCCACAGGCCTAAATGCAGTATCAGTTGTTTGGTTCTGATTTTCTTATAATTTGATCTGTTATTAATAGGTGAAGAATTCTGTGTAACAATGTCATTAAATCGAAAGTAGCTGTTTTATGACCAGGCGTGAGGGGGGAGAGAGGCTGAATGAATGCACAGTGGACTGGAATCCCGATTTTAGTGGCCAAAATGATTTTTCTTTTTTTAGCATTATTTGAAGGTTTAGGTAAGGTAGTCAGTAGGGTCGTCGAATTGGTCGCAACACCAGCTATAATATTGCAAATTCAAGAACGATTTTTCAAAAATCGTGGTGACCTCCATTTTTTATAAAAACAATCTATTTTCGCACTTCTTGTATTGAAATCTGTTGCGAAATAAATACTGATGAACTTTTATCCGAAACATCGACGCCGGAACCACGGAAATCTGTGAAAAATCGTTCAACGTTCCATAATCTTGAGGCTTTGCAGAGGCACCTGCACTGGAAATTTGCGTGTTGCTCTTCGGAATTGTTTAAGCTTTCATATGCGAAATAAATTCTATGTTGGATGTTTTTAGATATTTTTTGAAACCCGTTCGCAGAGTTCAAAATGTTTTAAATATCGAACAATGAAAATACGCCTAATAATATGTATGACAGATTAACTGAAAACTGTTAGTGCATGTTCCACAATGACTTCTTAGAATAATTGGCTTTACTTTCAATTTCTGGTTAATATATTCCTAGAATGGCTAAACTTACGGATTTTGATGCAGAAGAGTTATATAGTTGTCCCGAAAATGTCTCGCAATCCGGAAATGGGCGGTTCCCGAGGTCATTCGAAGCAACTTTTTCCTTTGCGAAAATGTTCTCCGACGCTTCGTTCACGAGTTATTAACGAAAAACACTGACCAATAAGAGGCGAGCTCGGCTGGCGCGCGGCGGCCCAGCCAACGAGCGCGCGGAGCCCAGTTCCGCCCATTGGCTCGGCCGCGTCGCGTCAAATGATCTCGCCTCTGATTGGTCGCTGATTTTCGTTAATAACTCGTAAACGAAGCCGCGGATTGCATTTTCGCTGAGGAAAAAGTTGCTTCGAATCACCTCAGGAATCCCCTACTTTCGGATTGCGAGACATTTTTGGGCCATCCTGTAGATTGGCGCATACCAAGTAATGTTCAAACTATGAAAATTCAATTTCGACCACGAAGAACAGATCTCCAGCCCATTGCGCGACGCAACAATTGAGCAAAAAAGCTGTCCACCTTCGAGCAATTCAAGCGTCGTCAATTCCGATATATGTACACCCTCGTCCATAAACATGTGGACACTACCATAATTAAGTCAATTATTTATTATTAGTTTAAAAAAATATGCGATACCATTCGCGAATGTTATATTGTTCGATAAAAATGTGTTCGGAGAGTTTTTCATATCAATTGCATAGAAAAGTGTGTAACTCACGATTGAACTTCTCTTAACAGCGAATTATTTATACGAATCACGGTTTTTCGCGTACACATTTTCAATGTCTTGCACACCAAGAAAACGATACGAAAGAAACCGATTTTTCCGAAATGCGGTTCGAAACCTTGAAACAACACTGAAATAATTTCGATCACGGAAAGCGAATGCCCGGACTGCTTGCTCTGCAACAATTGCCTAAGAAGAATCGCCGAGACAACTTTCGGGAAGAACTTTTTGGTCAGAACCAGGCTCCTCTGGAAAGTCGCGCGACGAAAATCTGATAAGACTCGAACTTTTTCCTCGCGCTCGAAAGATTTCGAAGTGGAAGCAACAGATTCTCGAAGAACTGTGCATTGCAAAAATCGGGTAAGGACCCGGGGCTCCCTCGTTCGCCGCTTTCACAAGAAAACGGTCGTCGTGGCCAGCCAGTTGAATTTCCGATTGATCGTGGAACGGGGCAGAAGTGGGAATACATCGATGCGGCGCATGAAAAATGGATTCGCCGCTATCTATCAATAGACCTTTTTCCGTTGTATCGCGGCCACCGTTGAATCTCGGAAGGAAATTACCGAGTAGAATTTTTCCTCCGTTTCTCTTCGGGGTAATCGAATGTTCGGCTCTCCCTTCGGCTGTCTCCCGTCCGGAGCCCCAATTTAATCAAGAATTTCGCCCAGTGCGCGCGTCAGGTTAATGTAATTTTACTGCAATAATTGAATGTTGGCGCCAGGAAATGCAGAATTTTTCACTGCCACGGTTCGACGCGGCCAGTGCTGTTGCACCGTGCACGTCGAATTAGCCCCTTGAACAATTTAATTGTTTAAATTTAAATACTACGCAGCGTTTCCTTCCCGTTCGTTCGATTCTTTTTCCACGACTGCTTGCTGCTCCACGTTGCTTTCGATCTGTCCGGTTTCTGGTTTATGTTTGCGGGGGAAAAAAGATTCGACGTACGTTCTCGTTCATATATGTGTGCGGAAATTTAGCGCTTTTAACGAACACGAGATGTGCAATATCGTGAATCAATGCTATGAAACGATGTGTGCCGGCAAATTTTATTTCGGAAGGCGAAAAATTGGTTATAAATTTACTTTTACGAAGGACGATGGTCTCAAGCATGCTGCTAGAATATGTCAAAATTATTTGTAACAAATGAAACAAACTACTGGTGTAAGCATAATGGAATTCACGTCCATCTTCTGATTTTAATCCCATAAAGAAAGTGGACAGAGAAGTTCGGAGAAAGTATCGAAAATCTAAAAAACATTCGCAGGAATTATTACGAGCTGAACGAAAGAATATTTTTGCGGATATAACGAGAACATTGATAGCCAGAATGCTAAAATTATTGAAAGAAATTTGGAGAGCGCGGGCCGGGTACATCGACAAAGAGAAGATTTGACTGCTTTTTTTCTTACTATCGGTGAAATATTAAATGTGCCGTCGGTCAAAATTATGCTCTAATAAAGTACGAAGTAAATACAAAAATCATAATAATATTGGTGGATACAATTTCATGATGAAACGCAAAAGATATACACTTGCATGCAAATTAACATCGACGAGCTCGTAGACTTCGAACAAAATGATATCAAAAGAAAGCTACTTTTGCATCTCATATTCGTCTCCTAGTACCAGTCAAATTCCATGTAAGACAATTGTTTGTAACATCGCTTTTGGCAGAGATATTTAGGTGTACCATACTATAATATAAAGGTAGTAATAATATTTCGATTTTGAAATCCAGTCTCGTAGCGAAGGAAAATTTGCTCGAATACGGAAGTTAAAAAATTGTATTTTTGTCACAGAATCCGGCTTGCCGAACCAACTGTGTGCCAACGTAAATAAATATATTTGAAGGTAACAAGTAAAAACGTTCCTCCAGCCGTTCCACCCTTTTCAACCGATGCCCCGAAAGTTTCTATTTTGCATAAAAATATACGTATACAGCCGTAACACCCGTGACAAAGCTGAAGACCGAACAAATTGGTAGGATCACGTCGTAGCCGAAGCTTTGTTTGGCTGTTAATCCGGTGCACAATGTTTAAACAATGAAATCGTAGTCGAAACGTTGTTAGAAACTGTTCGGCACGGTTGTATAACTAACCCGACCCACTTGCCGCTAATGGTTCCTCGCAGGGTAACAACGTTGCAACAATGGCTGGATGTTAAAAGGGAGAGCGTAGCGTGGAATTGGCTGGTGATAACGGCGCGCGAGAGCACAGGCGCATACGTCGAAATTAATTAAAACGTCGCAGCCGGTCACCGAAGTTTCAGACTGATTTCGAGCCGCCTCTCCCCGGCTCGGGCCAAGTCTAATAATAAGAAGTTAACTCGAGCGTTAAGTGTGATTCAAAGCGGAGGGAATTCGATATGGAGTGATATCCGCCCGGTGAACTTGCTCGCGAGCACCAACTTTCCTCCGAGCGGGCGGCGACCGGGCAACGCGAATGGCGACGCGACCGCGTTCCGCAAACAGACGCGATTGCGTTCGACACTTCGAATCTTGACAACAGTTTCGAAATTCTTTCGGTCCTTCGCTTATGGTTGGTTGCCGCGACCGGCAGCCCGCGAATGTTCGTGCGAATTTGCACGTCGAAACGTGCTCCGGAACGAAGTCGTGGAAATTCGAAACTATTGGGTTGGCAACTAAGTAATTGCCGATTTGTTTAATGAAATAACAATTTTTTTTTACTTGGAACGAAGTTTAATCTGTAATGTATTTTCCATTTTGTTCGATGACCTTTTGCCGTCTCTCCGACAACTTGAAAATCCCACGCTCGTAGAAAGTCTGATCCTTTTCGGCCGAAAACTGAGTTAAGTGAGATTTTACAGCGTCATCGACATTAAAAGTTTTACCACGAAGGGAGTTGTCCAGGGATCGAAATAAGTGGTGATCCGATGGCGCGAGATCAGGGCTATATGGTGGGTGTAACATCGATTCCCAACCAATATGCATCAATTTTTGCCGAGCGGACAAAAACGTGTGCGGCCTAGCATTGTCCTGTTGGAAAATGACACCTTTACGATCGACCAATTCTGGTCGCTTTTCCTTGACCGCTGCAGTCAATTTGTCCAGTTGCTAACTTTCACGGATAATAAAAAATAACATAATAATAATAATTTTATAGTATAACATTTACGGATATCATAAAAATGGGAGTGAGAGACATCTATAACTGAAATCGGCGATTACTTAGTTGCCAACTCAATAGTTGTTTATTCCTAATACGACTATGAAAAATTAAAGAATTGGAGGTAATAAATAATATATTATATAATATATAATAAATAATATATTAACATTATATAATATAATATAATATAATTATTAATATAATATAATATAATATAATATTATATTATATTATATTATATTATATCTGTCTCTTATACACATCTAGATGTGTATAAGAGACAGATATAATATAATATAATATAATATATTATATTATATTATATTATATTATATTATATTATATAATAATTATATTTATCATATTATTATATTATAATATAATATATTAATATTATATATAATTACTCAATTTTCGACAATTAAGTTGAATAAATCGCAATTACAGCAGCAACAATGAAAAGATCAGCAGATCTGCAAAAAATATTTACATGTTTTGGAACAAATAGATTTGGAGAAATAGAGATTTGACGAATAATTGATTAATTATAATAAACAGTCCCAGTTTTGCAATTTTCATTGTACATTTATACACTATAATCTAAAACGTTCTCACACGTTTGTACTGACCACCAAGATATTTTATCAGTAGAGGTCACATTTATTTCATCCGTTAAGTTCAATTACCCGGTAACTGAAGATTAAATTGCAAGATCATTATTCAGTCGTTCTATTATAAGATTTTTCACGTAGAAACGTGCCTGAGATTACATGAAAAAGAAGGAAGGAAAGTGGACAGTGAAGAATATAAATGAGGTGTTACAAATGCTTCTCTCGAATGTATCGATTAACGCTAGAATTAACCAAACCAGGAAAAATGATTCGTTTCTTTGTGAGAAACTTTTTGTTAAACTTATTTATTGAAGCGCACATTATAATAGAAATTGTACGACGTTTAAATAAATGAATGTCATCGTTGTTGCATGTGAGCACATTCGTCGCGTTTAGGGCTCGACAGTGTTAATTGGACTGTCAAAAAATTCTAAAACTAAAATATAAATGATACTCATTGATTAGAAGAATTGAATGTCTTTTACAATATTATTAATCGTTTAATTCGCTAAGTCTGCTGCTTTAGCAATTGTCCTTTTCGTTCAAATTACATTTTTTCCCACTCTTGCAAATTACCAGTTCTTATCATGCGATTTCACGAACTACCGATCCGTTTCTCAAATTTCGATTTTTATCCGGTCTAGACCGAGGTATAACGAGAAAATTTAGATCGGTCGGTGCTAGCCGATCTTCCCCTAGCTGGTATTAACGCTTTATAGTCAGGCGAATGTGGATGCGGATTGCACATAAACCGGGACACTTTTGGTTATCATGTGAGTTTATGAGAGCATAGCTATAACTAAAGTGAAAAGGGATGTGTAACATAAGAATTCGCAGCTTTGTCGATGCATAATTAAAATGTTAATAATAGTTAAATGATTAATTAATATTTTTAGAGAATGATAACGTTTTTTGGTCATACTGATAAGGACATATCGACAGTTTTTAATAAGCGACTTTCGAGCAATTCAGGAAAAGAAAGAACAAAAATGTTTACTGTTATTGAAACTGTATTCGAAGCATGAAATAAATAAAATTTACTATATTTATAATAATTCATATAAAGTGTATACAGTATAATAATAAAGTAACAGATCAACAAAATGCCGATATTCGAAACTCTTCGAGTTCAGAAGAAACATATTTCTGTCAACAATTCATCGGTAGCAAATAATTGCAACGGCAACAAATTACTAACTAGCTCTGTCTATTCAACAAATAGTTCAGATTCTTTTCACGAATTAGTAAATTCTCTTTGAATCACGGTATTAACATATCTATACCGAAAATCGAGTAGTTTAGCAGTTCGAAATTTCGTCTCTAACGCTCGTTAACTCGCGCGCACTGTGCGCCGCCACGAACCGAAACTACAATCGAAAAGCCTATTGTGCCTTCTCGGGCACATAGTGTTAAAATATATCTATATATATTTGAAACGTACCTTTTACGTCGCGGCTCGTCCCCATACCCGCCATACTCGTGATTCTGAAACAAACGGGAACAGATAAATATCAGTCGAGTTCGGACGGCAGGTAAATAAATAAATTTGCTCTCGAACAATGCGGAACTGTGCCATAGGATACGATGTTCGCGGTGGGAAAACAAAGAACATTCGACACAGAAGGAAGACAGAAAAGGCTGGGAGATGGGAGAAAGGAGGCAGTAAACTGGGGACAGGAGAGAGAGAGAAAGAGAGAGAGAGAGAGAGAGAGACAAAAGTCAGAAGACAGAAGGAGAGAGGGAGACAAAAGGCAGAAGACAGAAGGAGAGAGAGCGACAAAAGGCAGAAGATAGAAGGAAAGAGAGAGATAAAAGGCAGAAGATAGAAGGAGAGAGAGAGACAAAAGGCAGAAGACAGAAGGAGAGAGAAAGAGACAAAAGGCAGAAGGCAGAAGACAGAAGGAGAGAGAGAGAGAGAGAGAGAAGGCAGAAGACAGAAGGAGAGAGAGAGACAAAAGGCAGAAGACAGAAGGAGAGAGAGCGACAAAAGGCAGAAGACAGAAGGAAAGAGAGAGATAAAAGGCAGAAGATAGAAGGAGAGAGAGAGACAAAAGGCAGAAGACAGAAGGAGAGAGAAAGAGACAAAAGGCAGAAGGCAGAAGACAGAAGGAGAGAGAGAGAGAGAGAGAGAAGGCAGAAGACAGAAGGAGAGAGAGAGACAAAAGGCAGAAGACAGAAGGAGAGAGAGCGNAGAGAGAGAGAAGAGAGAGAGAGAGAGAGAGAGAGAGAAGGCAGAAGACAGAAGGAGACATAGATAAAAGTCAGAAAACCGGAAAGATGGAGAACACGAGACAAAAGAACAGAAAAAGATAAAAAAAAGTGTTAGACAAAAGACAGAAGACTGCAGGAACATACAGAGAGAAATTCGGTAAGACAAGCAAGAGTGAAACGGTGAGAAAGCGAATGAATGAAATAGTGAAAGATGGACATAAGAAAGACAAAAGACAGAAAGACAAAATACAGAGGACAGAAAGACAAAAGACAGCGTCGCGCAGTGAATATCTGAGATAGAATCTCGCGACGCGACATCTCCAAAGAGGCGTGCATTGGGGATCTCATCCTCCGCCTGTCGACACGCACCATCGTTTTCCGTTTATTGGCCGAAGGTTGCATAAGAGAAATGCACGCTGCAGGTTTGGCTGAATTTCGATGGTGCGCGATGTCACCAGGGATGCGTACTCGAGCAATCTATTAATACACGTCCGCGCGTCTTTTTACGACAGCACCCAAAGCGACGGAAATAGTGCAGCGAGACAGTTAAGGGGCGGGTAGGTATTGGGCCATAGGTAAAATCCTTAAATTGTATGCAACATTTGACTAGCTACACCGCTGAAACTTCGGACGATATATTGTCCGATATTATTTGATCAAGTTCTGTTTCTACACCGTAACGGCGCACGTTCTTCTGGAAAAAGTGCTCGTAGAAAAAAATGTTCGACCATTCCTGGTACGAGTTTTAAACAGTTAAGGGACTATCTTAAGGAATCTTAACCCTTTTAGTGCCGGAGGCCGATATATCGGCTCTTGCTGCACTGGCGAGAAGAGCCAGAGCCGATATATCGGCCCGCGCCTTACAGCGCTTTATAATAACAAAATTTTACACATTTATAATATAAACATATACATATAAATATTTATGTTATTATAATGAAGTATTATGCAAAATTTTATCACAAATATATTTATGACAACATAATTTTGTTTCAGCAATGTTATATTACCTATAACAATCACGTATTTCGGAAGAGATAATCCGTCCGGCGCTTACCGTGTACCTTCGAGTTATTTTTTATGTTTGTTATGTAATATTATTTATCTTGTTGCAAAATATATCGGAAATGCAAAGTATATACTTTGTAATAAATGGTCTATATAAAATTATGATGGAAAGATGACTTTTTTTATGCGCCAATACGTTTTGTGTAAGAGAGAACTGGACTTTTACTTTCTTTACGATCTTTTACACCTTTGTTGTTTATATAATTTTCAATGAATATAGAAAAACTAGTGTCATCGTTTTGTTCTCTATTTCGTCCTTAATTTACTGTTTTTTGAATCACGTAAATATTGCTTCTTGTTTGGTTTTTATGAGCATTTTCCCAAACCCTGGTAAAACCGTGAAATTCGCCCGGTTATTCTCGCATAGGCGCCTCTTTCTCGCATGGCACTGAAAGGGTTAAACAAATTGAATCGATGCGTGAAGCAAACATTGAAAATCGCGCCGCACAGTCTCACTTGTTTACGAAGAAGAAGCAACCGCCGGACAAGATACTTTCGCCACTTTTCTAGCTAAAAATGAAATCGAATTAAAAAACATTATACATATATATATCATTTATGTGACTTCAACGCAACGCTGAGATATAAACGATCGAATTTGTTTCCTTGCAATGCGATTTCTTTCACAGCTACGTTGATTAGTACTTCTCTTTGTTGCCAATAAATTCCTGCACAAGGTTGATAATTTAAATTTATTAATTGTCAGTTGTTACTTTGACAAAACTTGATCTCAATTTTAAAAGACACGAATAACATCCACATTTAGCGGATTATGTGCTAAATATTCACAACGAGGCTAATGTGACGTTATAGAGTTAACACTAAACGCACCGAGCATGTCTCAAAATCACCGGTTTCACATTTTTTAATTAAAAATTGTTAAAAAGACTCTTTCATAGAAAACGATTGAATAAATGATCATATATAGATTATAATGATTATATATATCATATTATATATACGATTATATATAATATATGATTATTATAAAGACTCTTTCATAGAAAACGATTGAATAAATGATCATATATAGATTATAATGATTATAATGATTATATATATATATCATATTATATATAATATGATTATATATATGATTATATATAATATATGATTATTATAAAGACTCTTTCATAGAAAACGATTGAATAAATTTCCTAATTCAAACATACATTATAATAAAAATTGTCTAAATAAATACACTCTTTTCATCGATATAAAGCAACACGAGAAAGTCACCGTTCACTGCTGGTTCATTCTGAAAGTATAAACACTTCTTTGTGGCAGTATAAACTTGTTTAACAAAAAGATTTCGCATGCACTTTTCTAATCAGATGCGACCTTCGTACATTGGTAATAATACAGTGGCTCACACACGTTGATTAAAATATGTTTGCCAGGTAATACTTCTTAATTAGACTATATTGGAAATGCATTAAGCCGAGACTGCAGCGTTGCGCCGTTCGCCCGCTTTAACGCAATTTCAATTCAATTAAGCTTGCGATAAAATTACATCTACTTTTAACTAACAAAAAGGAAGACCGCGCTAAAACTTTAAAAGGAGCCAGAAACATACATATATCGTTAACAGGAATTTCTCGCAGCAATTTTTTTTGAATAACGACCGACCTGAATCAAAGTTTAATGGGGGGACAATTTGTATTCCAGATATGGCCCCGGAAGATCGAAGGAACATTATATTCTCAATTTATGCAGATTTCATGTAACGAACGATATCGCCAACGACGGCCCCGATAGCTTTACGAAAGTAATTTAATTTCATAATTTACGACCCTCCCCCGGTTGCCTGCCGGCATGCTTGACGGTATAACGTTATTTACTTGTACAGGTGACAGCATTTTACGAGGTTCCTCGCGTAATCATCTTCGACTAAGTTATTTAATTTTTAATAAAAACATCAGCGCGCAGTTTCCGCGAAAATCTTTATAATTCTTCTAGTTAATGGATAGAATATATAACCTCCCCACTTTTTCTATATTAAATATATTGTTCTATAAATTATATATATTATTCTATAAATATATTATTATTATTCTATATTAATTATATATATAATATAATAAAAAATTATATATATATTCCTAAGGTCATTTGAAGCAACTTTTTCCTTAGCGAAAATGCAATCCGCGGTTTTATTTACGAGTTATCAACGAAAAACTCTGACCAATAAGATGTGAGCTCGGCTGGCACGAGCTGGCACTGAGCGCGCGACGCCCATTTCTGCTCATTGGCTCGGCCGTCTCGCGCCAGCTGATTTCGCCGCTGATTGGTCACTGTTTTTCGTTAATAACTCGTAAACGAAGCCGCGGATTGCATTTTCACTAAGGAAAAAGTTGCTTCAAATGACCTCAGGAACCTGCATTTCCAGATTGCGGACATTTTTTGGACACCATGTATATTACCCCTCTTCTTTTTCTATCCAATAACTGTTACTGTTCATCCACATTTATCATTCTTCGCCGTTCTAATCGATTACATTCCATTTTGGTCTATTTCACGATTTCCATTTTAGCCGATGTTCTATCATATTATACACTATTATACGAGATGTCCGACTTTAATCTGTAAACGACGACAGCTCGTTCATTATACACTACACAAAAAATGTTTCCTATAGAAATTAAATCGTTTCGAAGGAGCTACAAGATGATCTAATCCATTTTTCTGTAAGCGGACGCGTACAGTACAAATGAAGATAAACTTTGTTTTTTCAAACGAAATTATATAATTTTGAATACACTTATCAGTTCGGTCCATCGTTCCGAAGAAAAAAATATTAAACCTCCATGTCAAAAAATTATTAGTCCACGAGATGTTTAAGTGTGTAATTAACGAGTTACTTTCATTTATAGATATTAAAACTGGATCAATGTCGTTATAATCAACCCCAGGAAACTACTATAATCCCAGGGATACATGAACTGGAAAATAGGTATTATTTTATTCGTTGTAACAAATTCATTATACCTTAACTTTCCGTTCCACAGATTTCCGTAACATACGTTTATTTATTACGGTAAATAACTAGCTTATCCTGAAAACCGATAATATCGCAAAACTCGTGCGTCCTACAATACAGAAAATTGAATCACAATTTTGTTGCATCGTCGCTGCAACATTAACAACAAGCTATTTTAAAATTCCATAAAATCGCTTCAAAAACTGCATAAAATTGTTTTTTCTCA